AAATATTACAGACTAGAAAACTCTATGGGCAGTCCTACTCTGGCATATGTGGTTGTGATGAGTCAAAATAGACTGAATGGAACCTAACAACACCTTATTCATCAATATTATTTTTAACACTTAGAAATCTCAATATTTCAGTATGTTTCAGAGAACAAACTGGGAGACAGATTCTGGTCAAAACTTATCAGGCATGACTTAGGAGAAAGAACAAGAGAGCTATAGAGCGTGGCAAAGGAGAGGAGTGTATCCTGGGAAAACAGTCCATGCCAGCTGCTCGGGGACCTTAACTGGTGGTTTGTCATATCTTAGCATGGCAGTATTCAAGCCATGTGAGGAGGTTTGGGGGGAAAATGCATATCCAGCTTGGGACTTGATCTGAGAGCAACCAATTACTTTGGTTTAAACCACTCAACTCCGCTATGAAATTAAGAGTTTTCAAGCTAATACAAAATCGCATCAGTCTACTGATTGACGCCTAAAATAATTTGGATCTAAAAGAAATCAGCCTGCATCCAAAGACCAACTCCCAACACTGCTTCCTTGCTTTTCTCAGCCACGGATGCTCCAAGTCAGAAGGGGAATGAATATGTTTTGGTAAATGCTAATAATCTGGAGAAAGTTTTATAGACTTGTTACTTCTGTTTCACCTCTTTGCAAAGCCAGGCAAACGCTACTTTGCTATTAATGCAGTCATGGAAACCCAAACTTATCCAAGAGATACATAAGGGGGTAATAACCACTCTAAAAATAATCATTACCCTTAAAAAAGAAATAAATATAAAAGAAGCTAGAGGAGAAAAGTATGGGGAAGAAAATCTCACAAATTGATGTGTTGAGAGTCATCTCTGAAATTATGATGTATGACAAAGAGAATGTCAGAGTCTATTGATACATGTTGGTTTTCAAATTGGTTATTTAACACAAAAAAAACACTCTGTGAAGAGCTTTTTAAACAGAATGTACTTTCACACACCTGGGAAAGGTAATCCATTCTTGGTGGATGTATGTAAAGTTAAGAGATATGTGCGCAAGGGGAGAGATGGGGAAAGAGACAGTACTTCCCCCTCTGTGTGGCCCACTTGGGACCAGCCCTTACGTCCCCTTTGGGGACTTGAGGTCAATGTGGGCTGGGTGTGATGAGAGCAGGCCTTCTGAGTTTGTGCGCTGCTGTTTGCTTTCTTAGTAGCACCTTTGTTTCATATATAAGCATATTCACTGGTATCGTTTTATATTCTGCTCTCAAATGTTCACATCTTCACAGTTTTCTACTTCTTGGTAGTGTCATATTTTGTATTCACCTGTCTCAGGCCATGGACAAGACACTACTGAATATTGTGTTTGTTGAAATTAGCACTAAGTCAGTTTCGCTTCCTAGTTTTTATGAATAGACACATTTTTGGAGGGGGATTTTGCAATCTATTTTAAAATGCATATTTGCCTTTAATTTAAAATATCACAAAGATGTTCATTGCTAGCCATAGTAGACACACCTTAAAGTTCTCTATGGCTTAGAGGAGGGGGTAGCCTATGTTTATGCTGTAAAATGCAAGTCCCAATAATGTCATCAATATGAAATTACTGATCAGATAGCATTTTAAAGTGCTTAATTCATTAACTGAGTTATTCCATTAATGTTTGCTGAATGTATAGATTGTGCTGTAGGATAAACACTAGACTGCCAACCACAGGGTTTGTGGTTCAAAACCACCAGCTGCTCTTTGGAAATCCTATGTTGGGCTGCTATGAGTCAGAACTGACTTGATGGCACTTAACAACAACAACGTAGATCGTGCTAGTAGCTATGAATATACAAATGAATAAAGCATGGTTCCTATCCTTGTTGCTGCATGCTGTTAAGTAGGTTTCAACGCACAGTCACCCTGTATAGGGTTTCCAGGGCTGTAACTCTTTATGGGAGCAGAAAACTTCATTCTTACTCCTGAAGAGCGGCTAGTGAATTTGAAGTTCGACCTCACAGTTAGCAGCACATGCATAATCCACTATGCTATTTGGGATCCTTGGTTCCTACCCTTGTTGTTGTTGTTGTTAAGTGACATGGAGTTGGTTCTGACTCATAGCGACCCTACACAGGGTTTCCGAGGCTGTAAATCTTTACGTGAGCAGACCGCCTCATCTTTCTCCTGTGGAACCACTGGTAGTTTCGAACTGCTGACCTTGCGGCTCTCAGCCCGATTCGTAACCACTACGCTACCCTTAGGGAGTGCTATTTGAATTAGTGCTCCCCTTGTCCTAATGTACTGAACTGTAAAGTCGGTTTGAATCGCAAGGTTAGCAGTTCAAATTCACCAGTCGCTTCTCTGAAACCTTATACAGGGTCTCTACGGATTGGAACCGACTTGACAACACTTCACAACAACAACAAGTCCTTCACTCAATATCAGAGAAGGGAGTGTGAAAGATTATGATCATCACACTATTCCTTTTAGGAATGTTGTAAAGCATGGAGAGAGAGAATTGTCCTGTGGATCCATTTAGAAAGCCTATGAGATTGTTATGTATTATTTGTCAAAAGAGTACTGACGGATTTTGTTCTAAATAATGCCAAGCTTTGAAAAAAAAAAAAAAAGTTGACCAATACTTAAAACGTTTTAGCAAACCTGTCTTTAGATTTGCTTAAATATATATTGAATAGTGATAATGTGGTGCTGTACCTCTGGTAGCGTAGTGGTTATGAATCAGGCTGCGAACCACAAGGTCAACAGTTCGAAATTACCAGCTGCTCCGTGGGAGAAAGATGAGGCTTTCTGCTCCTGTAAAGATTTAAAGCCTCGGAAACCCTGTTCATGGTCACTATGGGTTGGAACCGACTCAATGGCACGTAACAATAACAACAACCATAAACACTGAACTTCTAACCTCAAGGTCAGTAGTTCAAACCCTCAAAGCACTTCTCAGAACCACTACACAGGGTAGCTATGAGTTAGAACGGACTCAACAGCACTTAATAACAATAACAACAACCTTTCGAATATAAAATTTATTAAGTAAGATGCAATGTGGTAGAGCTTCCACACTGGAACATGATGCTGAGTGCCTGATGCTGTCGTTGTAACATAACACCAGCCCCCATTGCCATCAAGTTGATTCCCACTCACAGTGACCCAACAGGACCGACTGGAACTGTCTCATAGGGCCTCCAAGGCTGGTTACCATACAGAGGGAGACTGCTACATCTTTCTCCTAGGGAGTGGCTGGGAAGTTTGAAATGCGGGCCTTTTGAGTAGTAGCTGAGTACTTCAACCACTCCAACACCAGGGCTCCTCTGCCATTGGTTAGATACCTGATTAGTGATATTGTTGTTATTGTTGTTAAGTGCCGTCTTGTTGGTTCCAAGATGGTTGATGGGTGCGTTTGAACTGTTAACTTTGTGGTTAGCAGTCCAGTACGTGTCCTATAGTGCCATAAGTCTTCTATATTTTCCAAGTCTTGGTTTCTTCACCTGATAAATGACAAAGTACCAACAACCGTATACAAGCTGATTTAGATAGTGTCATGATTACTATTTCTTTTTCATAGTTATGTATTTTATTATATATTACCAAAAATACAAATAGTGCATCAAGCTTGTGCTCTCACAGGTATTATTGCTTAGCATAAAGCTACATTTATTCTTTTAAAAAGAGGAGGTAATTTAAGAATAATATCAAAGAAATGGCAACACAGTGGCTCCATACACTAAGCACTGGATCGCAAACTAGGATGCGAACCACAAAGTTAGAGATTTGAAGCTACCAGCCATTCCACAGGAGAAAGATGAGGCTTTCTGCTCTTGCAAAGATTTAAAAGCTTTAAAAACCCTACTCAGAGTTGCCGTAAGTCAGAACTGATGGCACAGCACTTAACAACAACAACAACATCAAATAAATAATAGTACACACCATCATGTCCAAAGTATGAGAGACGAAGTTTGGCCATCTTCGCCTCCAAGGAGTACTCTGGCTGCACCTCGTCCAACACAGATCTGTTTGTTCTTTTGGCAGCCTATGGCACTTTCAATATTCTCCTCCAACACCATAACTCAAAAGCATCAATTCTCCTACGGTCTTCCTTATTCACTGTCCAGCTTTTGCATGCATATGAGGTTATTGAAAATATCATGGTTGGGTCAGGTGCACCTTAGACCTCAATCTGACATCTTTGCTTATCAACACTTGAAAAAGGTCTTGTGCAGCAGATTTGCCTAATGCAATATGTCGTTTGATCTCCTGACTGCTGCTTTCGTGAGTGCTGATAGTTGATCCAAGAAGAATGAAGTCCTTGACAACTTCAATCTTTTCTCCGTTGATAAGAATGTTGTTTATTGGTCCAGTGGTGAGGATTTTTGTTTTCTTTACATTGAGATGTAATCCATACAGAAGTAAATGTTCCAAGTCCTCTTCACTTTTAGAGGCCAAAATGGCCAAACTTAGTCTCTCATACTTTGGACATATTGTCAGGAAGGAGCAGTCATTGGGGAAGGATACCATGTTTGGTAAGGTGGAGGGTCAGAGGAAAAGAGGAAAAACCCCCCAATGAGATGTATTGGCCAAGTGGCAGCATCGATGGACTCAAGCATGGCAACAATAGTGAGGTTGGCCCGGGATCGGGCAGTGTTTCGTTTTGTTGTGCATAAGGTCGCTATGGGTTGGTACCAACTCGATGGCACCTAACAACAACAAAAACAACACATAATTGGTTATCTCAAACATTTTTAAGGTTGTGTAAGATGTTTGAACATATGATCTTTTAGGTTCCTTCAATTTCTATTTCTGTAATTATTTTCTTTCTTTATACATAAGCAATATGGTCTTCCAGTGGAAAGTTTCTATTGGAAATAACATTTTGGCTTCCAGAATAGACTTGTCAGTGTGCCTAAAACATCAGTAGTACATATATATTTTTTATAATCTTTTCATATGTGGTTAGATATTTATGTGAGTCACCCAGTTCACTGCTGATTTGTAAATATATTTCTCTTTCCTTTGATATGTTTTCAGATTAGAGTGTTGACAGAAAGAATGCTCAAATATCTTCGGAAATGGTTTGTCACTCATTTTTTTGGACATTCCCGGCAGAGAGCAAGGCTGGTCTCCAAAGATGGAAGGTGCAATATAGAGTTTGGCAATGTGCAGGCACAATCGAGGTTTATCTTCTTTGTGGACATCTGGACAACTGTACTTGACCTCAAATGGAGATATAAAATGACCATTTTCATCACTGCCTTCTTGGGAAGCTGGTTCCTCTTTGGTCTTCTGTGGTATGCAGTAGCCTACATTCACAAAGATCTCCCAGAGTTTCATCCTGTCAACCATACCCCATGTGTGGAGAACATCAATGGCTTGACCTCAGCTTTTCTGTTTTCTCTGGAAACTCAAGTGACAATTGGCTATGGATTCCGGTGTGTGACAGAACAATGTGGCACTGCCATTTTTCTGCTTATCTTCCAGTCAATCCTTGGAGTCATCATCAATTCTTTCATGTGTGGCGCGATCCTAGCAAAGATCTCCAGATCCAAGAAACGTGCAAAAACCATTACCTTCAGCAAGAATGCAGTGATCAGCAAGCGGGGTGGGAAACTCTGTCTCCTAATCCGAGTAGCTAATCTTAGAAAAAGTCTTCTTATTGGGAGCCACATATATGGAAAGCTTCTGAAGACCACAGTCACTCCTGAAGGAGAGACCATTATTTTAGACCAGATTAATATCAACTTTGTGGTAGATGCTGGTAATGAAAATTTATTCTTCATCTCCCCACTGACAATTTACCATGTCATTGATCACAATAGTCCTTTTTTTCATATGGCAGCAGAAACCCTTCCTCATCAGGACTTTGAGTTAGTGGTGTTTTTAGATGGCACAGTGGAGTCAACCAGTGCGACATGCCAGGTTCGGACATCATATGTCCCAGAGGAGGTGCTTTGGGGCTACCGTTTTGCTCCCATAGTATCCAAGACCAAGGAAGGAAAATACCGAGTAGATTTCCATAACTTTAGCAAGACAGTAGAAGTGGAGACGCCTCACTGTGCCATGTGCCTGTATAATGAGAAAGACGCTAGAGCCAGGATGAAGAAAGGCTATGACAACCCCAACTTCATCTTGTCCGAAGTCAATGAAACAGATGACACCAAAATGTAATTGCGCCTTTTCAACATGAATACAGCAAAGTCTCAAAGTTGGTTAGTGACTTAGAAACACAATGAAACAATCAGCAACCAGGGGGTATGAAAATAGAACAGGAGCCCTTAAAATCTGCCAGTACAATGATTCTCTGAAGCCCTTAACTGTGATCTTATAAGACATGATTCTCTGCAAGGCAACTATCTTAGAACATGTTATGTATTTAAGAGTCTGGAATATGGAAGCCACAGGAGCTTACTTGAAATCTTGAATATGATTATTTGAGATCGTGCAATGTTGATGAGAACAGTCAAAATCATCACACGTTTTATGTCCAGGCCAAATAAGACTTTTTAAAATCTCCTTGAAGAAGTTATGAGTTTTAGATAGGAAGAGGGAAAAAATAAATTCTCATTCGATTTTATTGCTAAAAAACAAGCTGCTTCCATTTTAGCAATGACTTTTATCAGGGGGAACATTGTCTCCTGAGACGAAGGAGAGGAACTTTGCAATCAAAGAAATTAAGAAAAAAAGAAAGAATGAAGAAGCCACAAATAATTGTGTAGTTTTAAGCTTCTCAAGCTTTGGTGGTTAGAGCCTTCATCTTAGTTGTGGGTCACACTGTGTTTTAGGAAGAGCAAGGTGGGCACAGCTCATGAGCTGTGTAGAAAATTCAAATTCTCTTGTGTGATACATTTAATTCAGCATTCTAATATCACAATGCACATCATCTTGCAAGACAGAAACCCTGGATTTGAAAAAGCTGGAGAACATAAAAACATGGTGCTGTATTGGAAGAGAGTAGGAGCTACAAATCTGTTAAAAGAGTATCTCCTGCTCTTCCAAGAAAGCAATGAAGAGTTTGAAGGTGCCAAGTCCTCTAGGAAGGAAAATGCCATGAATGCTTCTGAGGAAAAAAAAAAAAATGTTTCTTGTGTCTTTCTGCTGAGGGAGTGTACTGAAATGCTCTTTCTAAGAAGTGTGGAAGGAAAAAGAATGGGATGTGATCCCACAGTGAGGAAACGCTAGGTTTTTCTCTCTCCCTGGGGGCTGGTGCCACATATTCCATCATAAAAGGAATCCATGTGAAACCGGGTGTTATTTTAGGGGAAGGCTTTACCGTGAATTATTTTGAATGTATCCTTGAAAGGATAGTACTCAAAGCTGCTTAGGAATTAAATGTTTTAGTGTGTTGATTAAGATATTAAATCTCTACAACCATGTATGCACATTCTGAAAGTGTCAGTTATTGTACATTCATTGTGATCGACTGGCTGGTGGAAGTCCTCTTGCTGAGGGTGGACTTTCTTCTGAAAGGGGATGGAGAAGTGAAAGATGACAGATAGGACACATTTGTTGTCTTGACTACAGCTTCCCCTTGAGGAAGTCATCTTGGCTGCAGGTACACCCCTTCCTGTGCAGCTCACTCCAGAGTGAGTCTTGGCACTACCGTGGCAGCTGTGGTAATTGTTGGTAGGGATGACTTTGTTTCCCTGGCTTGGGGTTGAGTTTGTAGAGATCTACACACACACATTCTGGTCCTTCTGACCAAGTCCTATAGGAAGTCTAAGGAATGTAGGGACACACACTTTGTCCATGTCCATAACCAGTAGATTACAAGTGGTCCACATAAGACATTACTCTGTACCCTTAAGCATGGTAGCACAGCACTTTAATTGCTTGACAATGCTAAAGGAAATCAGGTAGGATGCTAGCTTGAGGAAGCTGGAATTCTCTGCTGGACCATTTTCATGAGATTTTATGACTCAGAGGCCCTTTTATAAATTTGAGGGAAATGGTATTGATTTAGGTCATTCACATCTGAACACACTTTTTGTGATGTTTCCCTACTTGTTGGCAAAATACTTAGTAATGGTTGGAACTGAAATGATCATAAGAAATCTATTCCTTTTGATTAAGAGAGCTGAACAACAACTAGAATCTCTCTGGCTAGCATTTCTTCCTGGGTTATTCAGTGAAAATCTGTTTGCTTCCAAATATTCCCCTTGAACAGTGCAATTTATCTCTGCTTCTTTGGGGATTTTGACCTGGAGAGTCTGTTCCTGGTTTAACATTCTTGAACTGAGGTTGACTCAAGCACTGATATTTAGATTTAAGATTTGGGAAATTGACTTTAAGAAAAAGGGCTAAATGTCTAAAAATTATTTCTTCTTAAAGAAAGGAAGAGTAGAAGAAAAAGATCCTTTCTAATCTACCAGACATAAAAAGTGAGACAATTAGTGGTTCTGTTTGTTTCCATCTCTGATGGGTGTATCATAAGGCATAAAGAAGACCTTGGAAATGCATCGTATGGAAGGTTGAGGATATAGTATGGTGGAAGCAACTTCCTTGGAGATGCTTTCATAAAATGAGAGATAGGTCCTCAACTATGTTTGAAACTAGCATGGGGTATCTTCCTCAGTCTACAGCAAAAGTTTTAAAAACCAATGATGGAAAGAATGCAAATGAACCCCTGGCCCCACCCCTTTGGTCTTTGTTGTCTGCCATTACAGGAAGTACATGTCAATCAAAGCTTGACAGGGGAGATAGAACATTTTATTTTGGAAGCCAGAAGTTTGAGAACAATGACTGGAATTTCCTCTTTCTGTCCAGCAAGGGCTGTTTGTCACTGGGGAGATAAAAGTCCAGGGGTAGGGAATAAAGGTTATCAGGAACTGTGGCAACACAGAGCCATGTGGGGGGATGCAGGCAGGAGGAGGACTTATGGAGGAAATCTATTTCAATGCCTGTCATTAAGTTTCCATTAAAAGAACATTCAGTTAGGAATTCAAAAATAATTTAATCTCCCCAGCCAGATGCACCCAGCTGGACTCCTTGGAGCCGAGCTCTGCAGAGGGAGATTTGCACCGAAGCTTCGAGGACTAGGAACTGGTGTGAGCCCAAAGTTGCCTCTCCATCCAGTACACCCTTGGCTCTGTAGGATGTTCTACAAAGCATTCATATCTTTGAGGAGACTGAGAAACCCCACAGCCTGTTTTTATTATCGGGTCTATTTACTATGCCTTTACCAGGACTTAGGTTCTGTTTTAAGCATTTTATATATATCCCTCATTTAATTTTCTCAACAAGCTTATGCAGTTAGTCCAATTATATATACTCTTTACTTTAGGCAGCTAAGACAAGTAGCTTGTTCAGAGTCACTGACTGTCAAACCCAAGTGTGTTTGTCCTTCTTGTCCATGCGCTCGAGACCACTCAAGTCAAGTGGATTCAGATACATCATAAGGTGACTCACCCTCATAAGGACTCACCGGGGCTGCAGGACACTGACCTGGAACCTATAGACGATTGACACACATTCCTGGCAGAGTCTCAGTCTTATGGGGATTTTTTAGTCAGTGCTTTATAAAACGTCTTGACCTACTTGTTCAAGGAAAAAAACAGTTTTATCAGAAGCTCAGGGTAAACTGCTCCGTTAATATCAAGAGGTATCCTGAAGATTCATTTAGATTGTTGGTGTGGTACTATAGAATAAACACTGGACCACAAGGTAGGTTTGAACCACAAGGTCAGTGGTTCAAACTCACCAGCTACTCCTTGGAAACCCTATACAGTGTCGCTATGAGTTGGAACCAACTGGACAACACATAGCAACAACTAATAACACATATATGTATACAAATATGCTAATAATAAATGTTTTAGTTCAATCTTCAAGTACTCCTCTAAGGTAGAGACAGATCTGAATCCTGTTTTGACAGATGGAAAATGGAGCCTTTGTCAGCCCTGGAGAAGAGGGTCTGTGTTCTCTGGTTACCTTATATTCCTAGAACCCAGTACATGCCTCACACTTTCAATCAATATTTTTTAAAGGAGAAAATCAGTGAATAAATGATTTACCCAAGGTCAGTATGACTAATAGTGAATTTGAATCTCTCTCTGTCCAATAAGGGTCCTTGGCAAGTGACTTAACCTTATTGATCCTCAATTTGTAAAGTGGGAGCTGTGCAATAGAGTTCAGGGAAGGAGTCAATGAAACAGTAGACAGAAGAATGCCTTTGAAAAAGTAAATGGCAATTAACATGGCAAATGGGGCCTGGGCAATGCGTTTGAGAGGGTTCAAAGGCAGCCTGGTGAATGATGGGCTGAAATGCAGAGACAGCATTTCTGGATGCCTATCTTTTACTGTTGTTATTGTTGTTGTTATTATTGTGTACCATCGAGTCCATTCTGACTCATAGCAACCTTGTATGAGTTTCTGAGAGCAACGGTGGGTTTAAACTGATGACCTTGCAATTGCCAGTCCAGTGCTTATCCTACAGTGCCACATCTTATACAGTATAGACTATGAATTAGGGAAATTTGTCTATGTTTTTGGTGCCTTAAGCTTCATTTCAATAAACAGATGTCTGTTGAAGACCTACTGTGAGCCAGGCAGTGCTAGTGCAAGCATGAGGAAGCAGGGCTCTGTCCACTGTGGTGCCAGTAGAGATTGAGGGGCTTAGACCAGTCTGGTGTGGGTGTTGTTATTCATTGCCATCAAGTCAACCCCCAACTCCTAATGTTCCCATCCATGCACAACGGGATTGGACCATCATGATTCATGGGGTTTTTTTTGACCGAGTTCCAGAAATGAATCGCCAGGTCTTTCTTTATAGCCTGAAAGTTCCTCTGAAACCTGTTCAGCATCATAGCAACACATGAGTCTCCACTGACAGATGTTGTTGTTGTTCTGTGCCGTGGAGTCGGTTCTGACTCATAGCAACCCTGTACAGGGTTTCTAAGGCTGTAGATCTTTACGGGAGCAGAAAGCCTCATCTTTCTCCCATGGAACATCTGGTAATTTTGAACTGCTGACCTTGTAGTTCGCAGCCTGAGTTGTAACCATTATGCTACCAGAGCTCCACTGACAGATGGGTGGTGGCTATTCTTGAGGGGCACTCTCTGAGAACTGAACTTGGGTGTCTTGAAAGCAAGAATTCTACCACTGCCCTGAACCAGAGCTAAATTGGAGAATGTTGATGTTGAAAAAAGTAATTTTTTTTTTCTTTATGCAGCATGCTTATAATAGTTTCAAGATAACAATTTAGAATTTCTTTTTCCACATTGCTTTTCTTTTGAAAATGTATCTTATTTTGTTGCTGGCAGTGTTGAGAGTATACACAGAAGATCATATACCACCTCAGCAGTTTCCACAGATAGAATTTAGTGACATTGATGACATCCTTCCAGCTGTGCCAACATTCTCACCCTCCTTTTCTGAGGTGTTCCTCCCTCAGTATCATAAACTCACAGTCCCCTTAGGTTCCTGTCTTATCTTTCAAGTTGCTGTCATCAATTTACTCCCATATAGATCTTAAACAGCATAACGCTCAAGGCA